CACAGGACGGACGGAATGTGTGGCGCTCATCCTTTCCGGATATGCGTCAGGTTGCATCGCTCACAAATTGGGATTCCCGGAACCCTGAGGATGTGGATGTATCCTGGGGGTTGGTTCGTCATGGAATCCAGCAACTCGTACTGGAACTCTCTCCACCTCACCGCCACCGAACACACGCTATGGGCCCACCGTGGTTTGACCGAGAGCTGTGGGCGTGCCTCCGGCAGCTGAATAAAGCCTGGTCCACGTACCGTGCAACAGGCGCAGAATATGAGGAATATCGATGCATTCGGAATCATTGTACTGCACTAAAAGAATGCAAGAGAACCAGATTCGAGGAACGACTAGCAGCGGATTCAGTACAAGNGCGATTGTATGCCTACCTCAGGCGAAGAATCAGAGCAATGCCTTGTCTCCCGACTCTCGCCAAAGATGGGGCACTAGCCGAAAAAGATGAGGACAAAGCAGAGATGCTGGCATCACATTAGGCCTCAGTGTACACCCCAGCATACAGTACACTGACACATCTACTGGACACTGACACTGCGCTGAAATGGGCCCCATTTACCATCGGAGAGGTGGCCCTGGAGCTGCGTCGACTAAAGATTCACCAGTCACCAGGACCTGATGGCGTGCATCCGCTGATCCTGAAGGAGCTGGTAGATGAACTTGCAGTGCCACTGTGCAACCTGTTCAATTTGTAATTCACTCAAGGGCGTTTACCGCTGCAGTGGAAAGAGGCTGTCATTGTTCCACTGCCCAAAGTTGGGGATAGAAGTGACCCTGGGAACTACCGACCAGTCAGCCTTACTAGCGTTGTGGGTAAAGTAATGGAGCGACTGGTGGCTGCACGGTTTCAGCAGCATTTGGTGTGCCACGGTCATCTGTGCCTCCAACAACACGGTCTCCGGCCGGGTCGCTCATGCCTCTCAAACCTGCTACTTGCGCGTGAATGCTGGACCGAGGACAAGGCCAAAGGACATGAAACGGACACCATCTTCGTGGACTTCACCAAGCCCTTTGACAAGGTGCCGCACGGCCTCCTTCTGCGAAAGCTATTCAGCCTAGGTGTGGGTGTGGTAATGCGGAATTGGCTGCGAGACATCCACATCGATCGGAAATTCTGCATCCGTGTTGGCAACTCGCTCTCTGCGTGGTATTCCGCTACCAGTGGGGTCCTCCAAGGCTCAGTTCTTGCTCTTTGTGGTATATGTAAATGACCTGCAGCACCTGTGTAGCCGATCCCGCACGTATGCGGATGACATCAAAATCTGGCCTACAATTAAGTGTCCGAATGATCGAAGTTCTCTTCAAGCGAATTTGAACAACCTGGTTCAGTTGGCGGATACCTGGGCTCTTCCAGTCAACACAGCAAAGTGTGCCCACCTGCACATAGGGTGTGCTGACTCAGAGGTAGTCTACAGTTTCCAGGGAACCACACTGCGCAGAACATCGTGCTAACGAGACCTGGGTTTTATGGTTACGTCATCACTAAAGACTCGAGAAAACACCGAGCGGGGCTGTGCTAGCGCATGGAGCATTCTAGAGCCTATTCGGCGGTCTTTCAATCAGCTCACGATAGACGCTTTCATGCTGCTGTACGCTTCCCATGTTCGACCAAGATGTGAGTATGGTGGTGCGGCGACGTACCCTTGCACGACCGGTGAACTGGATAAGTTGGAGCGTGTACAACGTGCTGCTATTAGACTGGTTGGACTACGCGGGACCAACTATGAAGGTCGTCTACAGGCTACTGGTCTGTTCGCAATTGAGTATTGACGCCTCAGGGGAGATCTCATCTGCCTGAGGAAGGTCCTGAGAGGTGATATGGGCCTGGAGCTGCAACAGTACTTCCCTTTACGGACAGAGCACCACACGCGGGGGCACTCTCTCACGTTTCGGAAACTTCAGTCAGTTGGTCTTCCGTTAGTCTACCGACTCTCGCGTTGGTCAACAACACTCTGGAATTCCCTTCCAGCGATTGTGGTGGAAGAGAAGATGGACGCTGCTTCCAAACGGCGTCTGGATGAGCACCTGAAGGGGTTATGGAGGAACGAACACTTGTGATCGGACCTTCGACCCAGTGGTGATGGGCTTACACGGGCACCCTGCCCTCTGCCCTCAATCCTGAAGACTGAAGACTGACAGGTATGAAAGGTTTGATATTAGCGGGTTGTGACAGCGTCCTCAAACAAATTATCTAGCGGGAATGTAGGTTTGTGACGGACAAGAATTTGAACCAGTCATCCCTTAGAAAGACTATGCAGTACCCCGTCGATCGAGTGAGATTTGTTTGAGAATGCATGAACTCGCCAGTACGTGATCTTGTTTGGGACGGTACATTGTTGGTTGTCCAGCGCAGACACTCAATGACGCATTCCTTGCATACTAAGAATTCATTTGACTTTTCTTCTGTCGAATGATTTTACGAATTTAGTGGAGTTGATAGTCATCCTTTCTATGAATTACTGCTGCCAGTCTTTCATTACCGCTCTTTAAATATATGTCTTTTCGAGGAATGTCTGATAACTCTAAATTATTTATTATTTATTTAAGGATAAAGTAAACCTCGAATAGAAGAACTCAATCGCTCTTTTGTAGAAAACATTTTACCGTTGAATCCTGTGTGTAACTCATTTCTTTCCTCGGAAGCAGCATATAGGTTACGTATATTTACCTTTAAATTGTACACATATAGGATCAGAATTTGACCGTGTCGGCCCCATCAACATCGGTCGTCTAGATATGGTGATCAACTGATAGAGTTGACTAGTATAATGGAGCATCCTACGGCCTCTGAATAAATTTAATGATACAGGCAGTGAGCGTGAGAATTTCTGTCTCCTCCACACCACTTAAGGCCTAATGAAAGACACCGAACTCGGTGTATGACTTGTGGTCTCCTTTTCTGCAAATTCTCTATGAGAGAGCGGCAGCAGATGGTTGTAAATATAGTTCCTGCCGTGGTTAGTCGTATAAAAAGCCGGAATGTCATCTTAATTTGTTACCTTCAAGAGTGAACAATTTCGATATGCAAATTTTCTCAGGTGTATCCCTTGTTTATCCGTGAACCTATGATCAATTTTGTTGCCTAATTGAATTTTCAATCGTGATATTGTCATAAGCAACATGATGGGGCTATTTGACAGTGGATGAATGAAAAGTCTTTACATGGAATCGAATAACAATATAAATCAGAATGCAGAAATTAGGTTTTCATTTATATTGTAACCAATGCAACTAAACAATCTTCAGTCCTGGGTAAAAATGTTATTTGAACTTTAGGTATCTACACATTGATAAGAAATTCAGTGAGACACTGCTTCATGGATACATGTGGCCAGAGGATTTGAACAATATTTGAAGGACCGAATCAACGTTGTAGGTAACTATGAGGGAGAATAAGTACCAAAATATATTTATGTTGACCACTTTTCAACACTCTTTAAACATTTTCTGAACTGAACTTTTCGAAGTTTTCATTATTTTCAACTGTAACCTTGTCACGCTGTCATCGGTAATCAATTTCGATACTTTTGAAACGACCGGTTGCATCTTTTCCGATCCTCTAAGGTGCAATTTTCGGAAAATTGAGCATTAGAGTTTATTTACTTGTAAGTAGTATAACTCTCAAGACATCAATACCAAATATAATAAGAAAACGCATCAATTCTGCGTTCTACGAAGGATTTCCAACAAGTAGGTTAATAAATAAGACGAATGATCATACCTAAATGTTTATACACATTGCGATGATTATCTCTTTTGAGAAGAAATCCGAGTTTTATTGAACTTCATATAGTGATGAGATTTGTGTCAAGGAATAATACGTGTCATCTTGGTTTGTTGAATTTCACTCCTTAGTTTATTTTCAAAAGTATTACAATGAAGCTCGATCATTCCTGAATACTACTATATTCAGTGAAGTGTTTTGATCTCTGGATTGAATTGAATGCCTACTGCGTGTGATTTTTTCGACATCATGATTAGAGATTCATTCGAGTGATTCTATTTAAACCTTATTGTCCCAATTCATTGTGAGGCCTAATGCAGATTCGATTATCGCATTGGAATATATGAACTAAAATACGGTGAATAATGAATGGAAATTCTGACAGTCATGGACCACTGATGAATAAACGTTGATCAACTCCATTCCGATGTTCTTGTAATTCATTTTGGGGGCAATGTTTGATCTGCACAGAATAAATTCAAAATGGTTGCTGTCTATAACTTTTCAACTTCAAGTGGATCCGTTGTGACTTCAATTGAATCCGTTGTAACGTTAATTGAATCCAACCAATCGCAGTCCATGGAAACTATACAAGATGATTGGTGTTTCGGCCGTCAAACGTCACCGAGTGGGCCGGGTCTGTCTAAACCCCGTTCAGTCCGAATGAACTCGCTTCCCTGTACGTTTCTTTCTTCATTTAATGTAATAAATAAATTATTATCACACTTATATAGCTCTGGAACACAATCAAACCCACTTATATAAATGTTTACCTCCGTAAGTTTAATTGCATAAAACATCTTTTTATGAATTCACGTGAAATTGAAATGGTGGTCATTGATACAGTAGTTTGAATAAAAAGAAGTGTTTGAGGGATACGGAAGAAGAGGTGGAGAGAACAAAGCTTTCACTAGATCAGTATTTCTGAATGAGATATGTGGGTGCCTTCTCATAAACTGTTATTCGAATATACCGACTGAATGAATGATATATCCGAAAGATGAATTACGTTCTAGCTGCAATAATGTATTTAGTGACTGAAATTACTCTAATTCAACTAATTACGTCATTGTATTTATCCTCCACTCCGTACAAAATCACCTCCCAAAAACGGAAAATGCAGTAAACAGCAAAAAACCGGGATAACCAGTGATCTTTATCATAAATAGCTTATGGTTGATTCAACGCACAAGGAAAACCACCGAATAGGTTGGTTTGTCATTTCTGCCGGCTTGCGATAAAATGCCTCCATTCGAAACACATAAGTCTGATAGGACGCCATTTGTATTAATTTTATGTTCGTGTGATTTACTGTTTACATTTTCTTTCGAGTGCATCATCTGTAACAAAGAAGTGACTGTTTTGTCGTCCATATATTTGGTCGCTAAAATGAAAAAAATACCAGAATATATTTACGCGGTAGTGGGATTGTAAACCCCTTGGCTTTTGCAATACAGTCGGGGAAAAAGCGAATCCTTCGATAAATCATAACATAAAAGGAGCGGCTACCGAGAAGAAAAATAAACTTATCACACGCATGATTCAATATTAACACATTGTAATTTGATTGCATTAGTCAGCAAATCATCAGTATTATTCAATAATTGAAGGCTTCATATGACTGCGTCAGGGCCAGGTAGGAATCATTCACTTTCGAGTATGCGTGTGCGCGTCTATTTTTATCTGCTTCCAAGACACCGTGAAACTGATCTCTGCCCTGCTGATAGAGAACGGGTTGTTCTTTTTGATACAGCA